TCTGCAATGTGTCATGGAAGAAAGGCTCTTTTGTGACAATGTCAGTGAGAGCCAGCTCTTTATTCACATAACAACAATAAACATTTCCCTCCATGCCCTGAACAGTAGGGTGGGGGGGAACAGTGGGCTCTGTCGCGTCCAGTGCCGAGCCGTCATCCGTCCTCTCCCCCTCGTCCCGTCATTGACGCCGTCGTTTCTGGCTGACCTTCTGGTGTTGCCAGGACGGTTTTGTGACGACCTCTCTCGCCGGCGGAATCGTCGCCACCACCGTCGTCGCTGGAGGGGCCGAGCCCGCTCGCCTGCTGTCGGTGGTAGGCGCCTGTCGCCTGGCCCGTCGCCTCCCTGTAGTTCTACTGGGGGCGTTAGAGGTTGACGGGTTAGTTGAGGCCCTGCTAAACTTGCCTGCCAATGGCAGGTGTTTAGCCAGGTGCTTTCTCTCTTCGTCAAGCTTACCAAAACGTTCCGTCGCCTCCTTAACGGCGAGCCCAAAGAGGCCCTTGCTTGAGACGGGAGCGTTTAGCAGCGAGGCTCTGTCCGTCTCCTTCATGGCTGTCATTGACAGCCAGAGGTGACGTTCCATGACCACCGAGGTGGCCATGGACCGGCCTGCGCATATCGCTGACGCCTGTGTCAAATGAAGAATAGCGCCAGAAATCCTGGACGCCTCTTCAATCTCCTCGCTGGTCAACTCAGACCTACCCGTTGTTAGACGGGATAGGGAGGCCGCGAGGAGGGCAATGTTGTTAGCCGCTGACACAGCCTGGGCTCCCAGCGTAAAGGACTTCTCAGCCAGCTGTGCTGTGAGTCTGTCCTTTTGTGCTGGCAAGGTGGCTTTCTTGGAGGCCGCCCAGGGACTCGAACCCGGCACTAGATACGCCGCCATGGCGCTCTCGAGCCTAGGGATTCCCTTAGCAGCCCACTCACGTCCAGCCACTCTCGTGAATGGGGTGTACACATTGGCCGGCGAACGCGCCGCCAGGGGTGTATCCCACGAGCCCTCTACATATTTTCAGAGGGAAGGCATAGCAGGAGCCATCGGCTCAGCTGCCTTCCTCGGTCTAGAGTAGGGGCCGCCCTCCATCATGTCGACCTCCACAGGGGGGGGAGCAGGGGGCAGCGCTATCTCGAGTCGATTGGCGGCTCTCTCAATGAGTTCGGGAAAGTCCGCACGCAGAGAGGCCGCTGCGAAGGACAGGGCTGCTGACGTGACAGAGCCCGTGTCTTCATCGCACAAGGAGCCTTCAGATCTCGCACTCCCCATAGGGAAGGGGGTCTTGAAGGTTGGCGCCAGAGGGTCGGATTGTTCCATTGGAACATCCATCTCTGCGTCTCTCTCCTTGTCCTCCCCTGAGTCAGCACTGTCCGTCGACGCCTCTGAAGCAGAGGCGAGAAGAGACAGTACATCCTCTAGGGGGATATCCTCCCTAAAGAACGCCCAACGCTGCTTCCTCACCTTCATAGGAAGGAGGGCGCAGGAGGCGCAATTAGGGGGATTGCCGGTTCCTTCCTTGGCATGCTGCGGCCCCAAACACACGAAACAAAGGTCGTGGGGGTCCGCAGATGCCATGGAGGAGCATCGGCACTGAGCCCTGAAAAGGGCTTTTGGGGGTGGAAAATCTCCTGGCGTGCTCATTTTAGAAGACGTCGATGGCTGGCTCATCGACGGCGATTTCTTCCTGAGTCTTCTTCTCTTCTTGGCTTCTTCAGTCTAGTCGTCCAGTCGCTGAATATAATGGGAGGCTGATTGAGGGGAAGCGTCCCCTCTTATAGGGACACCTGTGCTCCCATTGGCTGCAGGTGTGTGCATAAATTTGCTTCAGGCTGTTGCTGCCTTAGGGCAGAGGGTAAACCACTAGGAGCAGAGCTCCCCTATGGGGCGGAGCTCCACGATATAGAACTGAATGTTAGCTAAAGAGACTGGGATTTAGACTATAGAGAGGAATAGTAATGGCGTCTTTTTGTAGGCACTAACTCATTGGACAAAGCCTATGTGGAAATAATTGCCGTTTTTGTAGGGTTTTTGGATGAATGCTGAAAATAAGATCTATGGTAAACGCAGGCTTATGAGATCATATACGTTTTGTTCTATGAGGTCTTCATCAGCTAACGTCCCTTTTGTGAATTTTGAAGCATTTATGTAATTTAGAAAAGCATATAAAAAGCACAAACTGGTTTCATAATTCATAAAGGTCATGTTAACTGACTGATATTATCTCATAGAACAAAACGTATATGATCTCCTGGCGAGCTCTGTGAATAACCAACTCCCAAAACAAAACCCTTGTTTTGGGAGTTGCTATGGATAAAGTTGTTCAATTTGAATGTTGTCATAGAAAGAACCACAAGGGTTGAATGGATGTCTAGGTGTAGAACTTGGGGCCTTGTTCAGGAAAATGGATGAAGATTTTGTGTGTGGAGTTTGTTGCCAACAAGATAAGTTATTTTATGGCAAGGGCTTTCGTGTACCCCTTTGTAAGGGAACCATGCCGAAGTCAAAGAGAGGACGTTGGATAAATCACACTTGGGTGGTGGGCGAAACTGAATCTGACAAGAGTGAGGATGAATTACCTGCGGTGGCAGATGTGGTGAAGATGGCCGAGGTCGAGCCTCGTCCCAATGATGAAAAGATGATTCTGGCTCAATGGGAATTAGATTTTTGGGAGAATGGATCCTTGCCTTCTGGTGGATCCATACATGGTGTCAGGTTGGGTGGAGAAGAGGTTGGGGACTGTTGAGTCGGTGAAAGTAACTTGAAGTGGACTCTTGAGGTTTCATTGCGTTTTATCCATCCAGAGGGATTGGGCGCTCCGAACCACGCGCCTAGGGACAAGAACTATGACTTACATTGCTCTCCGGAGAAGGGCGCCATTGAAAGGAATAATAACTGTGGCATTAAGTGTTAAGGAGGATCAACTGAAATTGAAAATTCCCAGTGTATGTGATGCCCGCCGTTTGGTGCGACGCAGACCCGGTGGAGAGTGTGGTGAAACAGAGAAGACAATGTCTGTTCTGCTGAGTTTTGTATGATGAGTCTTTACCCGACAAAGTCAAGTTAGGATGTGTCAGTTATCCCATGAGAGCTTTTGTCCCAAACCCATTACAATGTTTTAGGTGCCAAGCTTATGTTCAAATTAAATCAAATCAAATTTTATTTGTCACATACACGTGTTTAGCAGATGTTATAGCGGGTGTAGCGAATGCTTGTGCTTCTAGCTCCGACAGTGCAGTAATATCTAACAAGTAATATCTAACAATTTCACAACATATACCTAATACACACAAAACTAGTAAGGAATGGAATTTAAGAAAATATACATATATGGACAAGCAATGACAGAGTGGCATGGACTAAAATACAGTAGAATATTATAGAATAGAATGCAGTATATACATATGAGATGAGTAGTGCAAGATATGTAAACATTATTAAAGTGACTGTAAACATTATTAAAGTGACTAGTGTTCCATTTCTTAAAGTGGCCAGTGATTTCAATAGGCAGCAGCAGCCTCTAATGTGCTAGTGATGGCTATTTAACAGTCTGATGGCCTTGAGATAGAAGCTGTTTTTAATTATCTCTGTCTCAGCTTTGATGCACCTGTATTGACCTCACCTTCTGGATGATAGCGGGGTGAACAGGCAGTGGCTCGGGTGGTTGATGTCCATGATCATCTTTTTGGCAATTCTTGTGACATCGGGTGCTGTATGTGTCTTGGAGGGCGGGTAGTTTGCCCCTGATAATGCGTTCGGCAGACCGCACCACCCTCTGGAGAGCCCTGCGGTTGCGGGCGGTGCAGTTGCCGTACCAGGTGGTGATACAGCCCGACAGGATGCTCTCAATTGTGCATCTGTAAAAGTTTGTGAGGGTTTTAGGTGCCAAGCTGAATTTCTTCAGCCTCCTGAGGTTGAAGAGGCTCTGTTGCGCCTTCTTCACCACACTGTCTGCGTGGGTGGACCATTTCAGTTTGTCGGTGATGTGTACGCCAAGGAACTTGAAGCTTTCCACCTTCTCCACTGCGGTCCCATCGATGTGGATAGGGGGGTGCACCCTCTGCTGTTTCCTGAAGTCCACGATCATCTCCTTTGTTTTGTGTAGCAGCAGTGTGTAGGAGGGAGATCCCTAGATGTGAGAAGTGTGCAGAAAGAAGGGCATGAGACAAATTAATGTGTAGTACCAGTGGAAAAAGTTGTGTGTGTTAACTATAGGAGTACCCATGGTGCTGGAGATCAAAAGTGTCCGATTAGAGAAAGATAGGTTGAGGTTGCAAGGATCAGAGTAGTACAGAAGGTGTTGTATGCTGAGGCAGTGAAGAGAGTAGTAGAGGAATATGGGTAAAGGGCGAGGGATCCTGAGAGGATCCCTGTGAGTAGGCTGAGGCCAATAGAGAGTGATTGGAATAAAATGTGCTTCAGTAAGGTTGGTTTCTTAGCGTTCATAGCCATGGTTATCAACTGTACCACAGAAATGGAGCGTAAATCACAGAAAATATATTTTGTGAACACAGCTGCAGAGAAGTACTTGGGATTACGAGATTTTACTGCAGAAGAGTTACAGGGGGTGTTGAATGGTAGTGTTCTGTCCTCCCAGGCTGTTGACTGCAATATGTAACTTTTTGGGCGACTGACCGAATTAACATAAAATGTGAGTTATAGATCTGCCATCTTTATTGAAAGCAAGTGTAAGAAGCGGTAGATCTGTTCTATGTACTCTATTTCTATGCTCCCCTTTTTAAAGTTTCGTTTTTGCTTCTTTTACTTTCGGTTTTGTACACCAGCTTCAAACAGCTGAAAATACAATATTTTTTGGTTATGGAAAATATATTTCACAGTGGTTTGGATGGTACAATGATTCCCTACACAAGACTGCTCCTTTAATAGTTGGCAGGGTAATTTTTTCGTTTTCTCCTTTTTTCTATCTCTAAGTATAATGAATTGTACTGTAGGGGGCGGTATGCACCGTTAACGTTTGTTTGCGGACTGGCATAATAATATAGAAGAAGAACGTTGTCATATTCTGTTCCTGGTTGAAAAGATGGCGGCTAATCAATCTTTGCGCCAATTAGTCCCTCCATCCCTGTCTGCTAAAGTGGAAGGGTATGTTGACAGCTATGTTTAATACTCTTATGATCCGTGTTTTAACTATATCTAAGCTATACAATCAAAGAGACAGTTCAACAGAATTGTGTTTAGTCAGGAAGACGGCAGCGTGGTACGTAGGCTAGCAGCGCCAGCTAACGTAAGTTGGCTAGCAAGCTATATCACATTTTACAGCTAGCTAGCTAACTTAGCTACTGGAAGTAGGCTAGTGTGATTAAGTTTAGCTTTCTGTATTGGCACCTGATAGTTCCTTGGCTCCTGGTCAATCAAATTACAGTTCAGATTCACTTTTGTTAGCTACAGCATCTAACGTTACCAACGACGCGTTTGTTTTTGAATGCTAATCAGACCAGATCAATTCTGAATGAAGTGGCATCAATAAATGGTATATCTCTGGTGCTATTCCAGCAAACATTTAAAAAAAATGTGGTTTAGCCTTGATAGCTGATGTCAAACGATTTAAGCTTTAAAAACATGTTTTGGCTTAAAATAAGGAGGACTGTAGGAACTAGAACTGGGGTGTTACGGGGGGCCAGTATGAAAATGTATGCACTCACTAACTGTACGTCGCTCTGGATAAGAGCGTCTGCTAAATGACTTAAATGTAAAACTCTTACCCTACGAGGTCCGGAGCCTAAAGGCTTTCTGTTCTACCTGATAATTAATTCCACCCACCTGGTGTCCCAGGTCTAAATCAGTCCAGGTTAGAGGGGAACAACGGAAGAAAATGCAGTGGAACTGGCTTCGAAGTCCAAAGTTGAGTTTGAGGGATATAGAAGATTGAGGAAGTAAGGAACCATAGATGTCAGAGATGGTTTGATCAGATGAACATGTGTGTCTATCCTTAGTTCACCTGGGGGGGGGGGGGGGGTAGGTCAAGCCATGCCCGTTCTCCGTAGTTGCCTCAGGTGCTAAACTGTGAGGATTCATAACTTAGTTGTTGTCAGCAACATGTCAAGAAATTGCATGGGCTGAGTCAGATTGATCTGCACCCTTCCTTAATTGTACAGTATGAGTCAAAAGTTTGGACACCTAGTCATTCAAGGGTTTTTCTTAATTTTTACTATTTTCTACATTGTAGAATAATAGTGAAGACATCGAAACTATGAAATAACACATATGGAATCATGTAGTAACCAAAAAAGTGTTAAAAAAATCAAAATATATTTTATATTTGATATTCTTAAAGTATAGCCACCCTTTGCCTTGATGGCAGCTTTGCACACTCTTGGCATTCTCTCAACTAGCTTCACCTGGAATGCATTTCCAACAGTCTTGAAGGAGTCCCCACATATGCTGTGCACTTGTTGGCTGCTTTTCCTTCACTCTGCCTCCGACTCATCCCAAACCATCTCAATTGGGTTGAGGTCGGGGATTGTGGAGGCCAGGTCATCTGATGCAGCACTCCATCACTCTCCTTCTTGGTAAAATAGCCCTTACACAGCCCGGAGATGTGTTGGGTCATTGTCCTGGTTGAAAAACAAATGATAGTCCCACTAAGCCCAAACCAGATGGGATGGCGTATCGCTGCAGAATGCTGTGGTAGCCATGCTGGTTAAGTGTGCCTTGAATTCTAAATAAATCACAGACAGTGTCACCAGCAAAGCACCCCCACACCATAACACCTCCTCCATACTTTACGGTGGGAACCACACATGCGGAGATCATCCGTTCACCCACACAGCATTTCACAAAGACACGGCGGTTTGAACCAAAAATCTCAAATTTGGACTCATCAGACCAAAGGACAGATTTCCACTGGTCTAATGGCCATTGCTCGTGTTTCTTGGCCCAAGCAGATCTCTTCTTCTTATTGGTGTCCTTTAGTAGTGGTTTCTTTGCAGCAATTCGGCCATGAAGGCCTGATTCACACAGTCCGCTTTGAACAGTTGATGTTGAGATGTGTCTGTGAAGCATTTATTTGGGCTGCAATTTCTGAGGCTGGTAACTCTAATGAACTTATCCTCTGCAGCAGAGGTAACTCTGGGTCTTCCATTCCTGTGGCGGTCCTCATGAGAGCCAGTTTCATCATAGCGCTTTATGGTTTTTGCGACTGCACTTGAAGAAATGTTCAAAGTAATTGAAATGTTCCGTATTGACTGACCTTCATGTCTTAAAGTAATGATGGACTGTCGTTTCTCTTTGCTTATTTGAGCTATTCTTGCCATAATATGGACTTGGTCTTTTACCAAATAGGGCTATCTTCTGTATGCCCTCCCTACCTTGTCACAACACAACTGATTGGCTCAAACGCATTAAGACAGAAATAAATTCCACAAATTAACTTTTAAGAAGGCACACCTGTTAATTGAAATGGATTCCAGGTGACTACCTCATTAAGCTGGTTGAGAGAATGCCAAGAGTGTGCAAAGCTGCCATCAAGGCAAAGGGTGGCTATTTGAAGAATCTCAAATATAAAATATATTTTGATTTGTGTAACACTTTTGTGGTTACTACATGATTCCATATGTGCTATGTCATAGTTTTGATGTCTTCACTATTATTCTACAATGTAGAAAATAGTAAAAATAAAGAAAAACCCTTGAATGAGTAGGTGTGTCCAAACTTTTGACTTGTAGTGTAAATCGAAACGTTGCTCCTAATTTGTCATGTGTTTCTTCCTCACACAGCTCATTTGCATATCTGACAGTGAGAGACAGGTTGCCGACCATCCTGACAAGAGTCATTGACACCATCCATCGCAACAAAAACAAGTTCTTTGAGGAGTTTGGAGAGGTAAGGATAACCATCATCACTGGTCCATCCTAAGCCACTGTGCTATAATCATCCAAATGTTGGACATTTTGAATTTCCTGACACATCCTGATCTCGGATCAGCCTATCCTCCCCCAAGTCCTTATAATAAACACACCAAATTGACCTTAGATCAGAGTCTATGGTTCAACTTCATCCTACTCCTCTTCTATATCAAATCAAATTGTATTGGTCACATACACATATTTAGCAGATGTTATTGCGGGTGTAGCAAAATGCTTATGTTCCCATAGGAGGGAGTCCAGGCAGAGAAGAGGACCATTGGCTTTCTTTCGAAGCTAAGAAATGAGCTGCTGACAGACAAGCCTATCCTGGTTCTGTGTGACGGCCTGGAGGACACTGACAGCTGGAACCAGTACCTCCAGAGACAGCAGAGGCTACTGGGGGAGCAGGACCCCGTCAGCTGGTTCAAGTCCCCCTGGCTCTACATAGAGTGCTATATGTACCGCAGGATACAGGAGGCCATCTGGCTCAAGTGAGAACCAGTGCTGCTAAATGTTAGCATTAGCTTAGTCTTGAGAAGGGAATGCATAGATCAGGGTTTCCCAAACTCGGTCCTCGGGACCCCAAGAGGTGCGCCATCTGATTTTTGCCCTAGCACTACACAGCTGATTCAAATAACTAATCATCAAGCTTTGATCATTTGAATCAGCTGTGTCGTGTTAGGGCAAAAATCAAAACGTGCACCCCTTGGGGTCCCGAGGACCGGGTTTGGGAAACGCTGGCATAGATGATAGTGTTTCATGATGATTCATAAACATCCCTGATAATCCCATTTCAACCAATGTTATAACTGATTTATCAACTATTAATATGCTACCTATAAACCCTTTATACATGATACAGTAATATAAAGAGTTATCCATTTAGTGTATGTGTCTTTTAACCTTTCCCTTCTCTCTTTGTGTCTGTGCCAGTCCCCCCATCAGCGACTTTGACGTGTTTAATGAAAGCAAGACGCAGAGTTTCTTTGAGTCCCAGCAGGCTGTGATATCCCTGTGTACATATCTACAGGGATTCAACAGGAACATGGACGACCTCTCAGAGACACAGCTCATGGAGCAGTTCCACAAACTACTACAGGTGAATACTGCCAACAATATCATAGGTGAAGATGTGCAAACTTCAGGGGTTTATTAAAAGGGGCCAGCTAAATGTTGATTGTTGAAAATGAAAGTGAATTGAAGTGAGGGGGGGGGGGATTATCACAGATCAGGTGATGTTTTGTCATTTAATCCCAAATGTTACCATCACAGTTTCTGTGAGTTAATGTCTCTCTTCCTGCTCTCAGGTGTCTCTGTGGGGGAACAAGTGTGACCTGTCCATCTCTGCTGGCATGGAGAACTCTCAGAAGGCCAGTCCCATTGACTCCCTGTCTGACCTGAAGTCTTTTATCCTGGTGGACGACTCCAACATGGTGTGGTCTGCTCTGACCTCTGCCCAGAGACCAGGGGAGGACGGCAAAACCACCCCAGGGAGGGTGGACATCGTCCTGGACAATGCTGGCTTCGAGCTGGTCACAGACCTGGTCCTGGCTAACTTCCTGGTGTCCTCTGGTCTGGCCAGGGAGGTCCGCTTCCATGGCAAGTCCATCCCCTGGTTTGTCTCCGACGTCACCGCACACGACTTCCAGTGGACCATCCGCCAGACCCTGGCGGCCAATCACAAGTGGATGTCCAAGAGCGGCGTCCAATGGCAGAGCTACGTACAGGAGGGCGTGTGGTCCTATCACGACCACCCATTCTGGACAATGCCTCATGAATACTGTGACATGGCGGGCGACGCGCCTGACCTCTACGCGACCCTGCAGGGAGCCGACCTGATTCTGTTTAAAGGAGACCTGAACTACAGGAAGCTGACTGGGGACAGGGAGTGGGATCACATGGTGCCGTTTGATAGGGCACTGAGGGGGTTCGGGCCAGCCCCCCTGTGCAGTCTGAGGACTCTGAAGGCTAACATCCAGGTGGGGCTCCAGCCGGGGCAGGGGGAGAACCTCAACACCCAGGACCCCAGCTGGATGACCAGCGGGAAGTACGCTGTGGTCCAGTTCTCCAGCCCTCACAGGGAACAGTAGACCTGTCTGGCACAGGAAGTGACGTCAACATGTTCATAAGAAGTGGTGTCATCATAATCAGAGGAAGTAAGGGCGTGAGCAGGGGAAGTGTACTTGTAACCATAAGCCAGGTTAGAGGTGTAGTGTGTTTTGTCGTAGAACTTCCTAATGTATTTAAAATCTGAGAGTAGTTTAAAGGAGGATGGTAGAGGGTACTTCAAAAAGAGGAGGGGAGAGTGTTGTTAAATATGGAGTGGCTGCGGATCCGACTTCTCTGGAACCCTCTTCCCGACAGCTAAAGGGCCGAAGCTTCTGCGAATGTGCGGGATTCTCTACTTTACACAGTCTCTGCTCTACTCGTTCAGCTGCCCAGAGAACAGGCTACTCTGGCGAAAGGTGCTTGTTTAATAAAGTTAGAGCCAAGCTGAATCAATGTCTGTAAGATCACATAATGATAATATTCTACAGAACCAAATAAAATAGCGTAGTATAAAACACCTAATTTCTTATGAGATTTTAGGATGATTGTGAGAATGGTTACATATTTCTCTCATGCAGCCTAAACTCAGCAGCGCACGCCACTCAGCAAAGGAATGCTACAGTTTAATACCAACTGCTAAAAATGTGCTCACGGTACATAGCTAATTCAAAACACTAGCCTACTTCAAAACAACACTGTAGCCTACACTCAAGAATATCTAAATGCATATCCCCATGGAACTGATTGTGATCAAATGGTTTGCATGCAGATTCTGCAAGGATGTTTCACCGGTAAAACTTGAAGAACTATCATTCACGATAGACAGTGAGAAATGCGAAGGGAGGGTGACCACAAGTTTGGGTGTGCGTAAAGTAGAGGTAAAGAAACACATGCACAGAACGTGAGTCGGTTCCAGTGGGATGAGGCAGTTACCTCCTGATCCGCAGCCTCGGCCATTTAAATAATGATCAACTGCTGGTTAGAACTCCGTCCTGGGAAAACTACAAAACAATGACATTTACTTCCCCCATTTAATGTGTTGACAGTTGTTTACCATCATCCAGTACCAGGGTTGGGCTCTACCTCGATTCCATTTCAAATCAGTTAATTTAGAAACATTGAAATTCCAAGTCATAAATTGAAACATGCTAATCTGATCTTAAGTGACTTTTTTTCAGCCATATTATGTACTTTTTTTTGTCTCCCCGACAGCGATTACACAAGATAAAAGTTTTGAGAGTCATTTCATTCATAATCAGAGGCAATAAGATGCAAGGTGCAATTTTAACATTTACATGTTAAGTTTGGCCTGTCGTGATTAGTTTTGAATTGTTATTTTAAGTTGAGACCTTATGTAATATCCAAAGTCAGCGGCTACTTTTTTGGCCAATTTTTTTTGCATGAGCTTGGCAAGAAAGAGTAGCATACATTACAGAATAACCTGTGGTTGCTGGTGTTTTCTGGGTCTTAATCAACGTCCTCAGTTTGTTGTCTCGTCAATTTATTGCATGTGCTTTTGTTTGCATGCATCAGGGTTTGCACAGTGACCACAGTCCCGGAGTTTACATTTTCAGAGTTAAATAACTGAAGTTGTACTACAAGGTAATGTACCCACGCTGGAAAACTATAGATAAATCATGGTATTTGGGGCAGTGCAATCACACATACAAGGTGTGTGTTTTGATGAACGAATAGCACTAACACCTGTCTAATTCAGTATTTCTGTTTCTGTTTTGATAGTACAAAATGTTATTTACTCATGTCATTAGAATGCCTCTGTAACCAGTGCTGGTGCCGTTGTGATCCTAAATGACTGGATTGTTCTCTTTGCAGAAATCTGGAACAAAAATGATTATATTATAACGGACTTGGTTTAAATAAAGAACTTCAATGACGGGTCTTATATTGTTGTGTAAATGAAGCCATAATTACAGTAGGAAAAGAGGAACTGTGGCTTGCCCTAGAAAGAGGATTTTGTAATTTCCCTCTTCTCACTCCTCCCCATTTTATTTCTCTGTTCATTTTATCCTGGCAACGTGTATAAAAATGGTGTTATCATAATCAGGACTACTTGTTTAGCACTTGACATGACATGTCTGAATCTGGGTTGTTTACTGAGTGAAGAGACATTGTACAGAGAGGAGCTTCTCTAGCCAGCGGGCCAAACAGGAGGCCATTTTCTCCCAGTTTGCGGCGATAGAGGTCAATGAACCATCATTTTAATAAGCAATAAGTTTACTTTCCCCCATAAAATCCAGGCGTCAATTTGTCAAGAAAGTTTGGAAAAATATGAATCCCCAGTATGACCTCACTGAGTTGTGTTTGTGGAAATGAAGATGCTCATCTTCTTCAGACTAATATGGAGAGCTAATATGTCCCTTTTTATGTACTGAGAATTCTTGCACATGTTGAGGACTGGACATACTAGTAGTCTTAAGTTAGTAATAACAGTGTTGTGCTAGGCACACCCTGCATTTCTACTAGTTACACCATTATTCCTTTAGAGAAAAATAGTTATCTTCCAGTATATGTTGAAGGTCAAGTGTTGTCCTTGTATGCCCTGAAACTTGCCTAAAGGACTGGGGAGACATTAAATGACTTTTTAAACATTGGTTTAATTTCATCATGCGGAGTTGGGTGATTATTCCTGTGATGCAGCATGTACGTAAAACCCCTTTGTTTGCTGCTTTGGCGGGATAATAGTTTATGTTTGATCAGTGGCTATCGTTGATAAGGTATTCCTCTTGAAAGGCCCAATAATAGCAAGAAAATGTACTTTAAATTAATAGCATTTTCTTGGTCACAGTAGGGTATAGTAAATGTAGTTTGGTGACCTTACCGCAATGCTGTATTATGTTTTGCTGTATAGATGTAGGCTATGAAAAGATGAAACATATAAGAACATGCATGGCCTGAATCCACTCATCATTTCCCCACTGGGAGTTGCGTAATGTTGGCATCAGAAGAGTGTTGACCTCACATTCTGTTTGCTGTGTCATGTTGACCTGCTCTAGAGATACACCATCAATATCGATCCGGCTGCATCTTTAATTTGATTATACCTTTTTTAAAATCTCTTGTTCTCATTGTGAAGCGAAGCCAGATCTCAGAAAGACAGGAGAAAGAGGGATGAGAGAGCAGGGAGAAAGCGAGAGAAAGAGGAACGTTCCCTATAGCCACTCAACACAACAATGCTCATGATTAGATCGAAAGAGCTGAAGATTGATCCATAACGACATTAAGGTAAGTACTGTATTTATGACATCTTTGTGTATATTTCAAGTAATGGGTTCCTATTTTATAGCTTCCTACTCTTGGAATTGTTTTGTATGATTTTGCCAGATTTGCACATAAATTCCCTGATAGACACATTCAATAGTGATTTAATTTAGAAGAGTGAGTCAGAAAGGAGGGATATTCTGGGCGACGGCAGTACCTGTTAGCTAAATGACTGATAAGTATTCAGAGAGGAAATCACACCAGGGTGAAACTCTCCTTGGAGCCTAGCTGTGTCCACTAAAAGCTTTTCAGGGAAAATAAAAATAAGCTGGCGTTTTAGAAAGATTTAAGGGGACAGGAGAGTTGTTAGTGGCTGCCTCTTTCTTTTCGTCTCTCACTCTCTCCCTCTCCCTCGTTCTCTCTTGCTTGCTATCTCTATTTATCTCTCACTTTTTGTCCTTTCCTCTACCCCCCCCCCCCCCCCCCCCCCCCCTCAGCAGTGTACATAGTTAAGGGAAAAGAGAGAAAAGCTCTGCCTCTCAAAAATAAGAGGGAGGGAGGAATGTTTTTTGGGCTGCCTTCAGGCGGAAGCTGGGAGGGAAAGAGAGCAAGGAGGGAAGAGAAAAGAGAGAGAACCTAGTGAACGCTTTGGCCCAACAGCCAGTAATGAGTTGCTTAGCACAGGCTGTTAAGGAAGGAACAGAGCAAGAGAGGGACGAGAGACAAGAGAGAGAGAAGACAGAACAGAGCCCCTCTCCCCTCCCACCCCTTAGTGAGCCAGTCTAAATCAAGCTGCTTATCACTGCTGTTGTTCTGTGAATGTGATGCTGGTCAGACAGTCCCAGACACAGATTTCCAAACCTCTCGGAGCTCCTCTCAGATCCCGAACGACCCTGGAGAGCCACGCCATCTTCCTTCCGAAACGCTCACCACAGCAGCCGACCACCCCCAACAGCAACATGTACCCTGAGGAGACACGCGGCGGTGGGGGTGGAGGGGCGGCTGCCCTTAACTACCTGGAGGGAGGGTATGACTACACAGCCCCTGCCCCAGGCCCAGCCCCCCTCTATTACTCCACCGCCCCCCTGGATGCCCACGGACCCCCCTCGGATGGCAGCCTGCAGTCCCTGGGCAGCAGTCCTACCGGCCCCCTGGTGTTTGTGTCCTCCAGCCCCCAGCTCAGCCCCTTCCTCCACCCCCCAAGCCACCATGGTCTCCCCAGCCAGTCATACTACCTGGAGACCTCTTCCACACCCTTATACAGGTGAGTGATCTAAGCTGTCATTGAGCCTTATGATATGGGAGTCAGCTGTTCTGGCTGAACATGTGTTGCTGTAATGTAAGTAGGTGAAGTGTGAGAGAGAGAGTGAGATCCGTGATGTGATGTTTGTTTGATCACTATTTGGACAGTGTATGTTGCTGACTATGGAGCATCTTTCAACAGCTGCCATGTCCCTGTAAGTCTGGGACACCAGACCACTGATTATGTAATTTTCACAGAGCATTTCAGTGTCCTGACCCATATGATATGTCTGCTTGGAGAGAGAGAGTGATAGGCTACATTGAGTGAATATATACTGTAGATATAGAGTTTAGGTTTGGTCTTTTCTATTGTTCCCTTCCTTGTTTGACTGTCCTTATCCCACATTAACAGTCATATTTCTGTCAGTCTTTAGGGGATAACATTTTGTTATTTTGCTCTGTGTACTTTTGTTTCTTTAGCATCCTCTTTTTTGTAGTTTGTCTGACCAACAAAGAATGATAGTCACAAAATAGACTCTTTAAAACTAAACATATACTCAGGATTTAGTTTTATAACAACTTTTCAATAATGTTTAGTCCTCAAAGTGGGGTATAATGCTCATTATGTAATTACTGTATATGTGACATTACTGTACTAGGTTATCTTCTTTAAAAATGAAAGATCATTCATTATCAGAAGGGAAATATTTAGGCTGTTGTGAGCGTTTATGAAGCCGTAGCAACGGAGCTTTAATCCCTCCGATTAACGACTTTGCTGGAGACCTTGAGAAAAGAGCAATACGTAAGAACAACAAAAGTACACACGTACAGTTCATTTCCTGAATGAGGTGGAGACCGATCTAGTTGCTGGGGGGATAGTACATTAACCTAAGATGCTGCTGTTAGCTATAATTGGCTCAATGTGTCCTTTGAAAGATTGAAAGGCTCAATGGTTTGAACCTCTATTACACTTTTCTCTCTATTGAATCAGAATAGATCATTGTCTGGCAGTTGTGAGATTTTTATCAGAGAAATTGATGTTGGTCGTTTCATGTTTTGAAAGCACTTGGATTGAAAGGCAGAGATCATTAGAGGAGTATGCTTTTAAAGACAACCAGCACACTATTAAAAGGAGAAAAGCAATTAAATCGTATTTA